AACTAGCAGAGACTGTAAGAACCCCCCCCCCCCCCCCCCCCCCGAACGCTCCACCCCCGTTTGCAAGACTAGTTATTATAAAATAGGCCTAATGTTAAAATGGATGTTGGGGAAATAGCAGGGTGTATGTGAAACGGATTGATTCGGCTGAAGATGTAGCCCTCGCCAGCGGTAAAACTACCGCACGTACGCTCGCTTCCTACTGAAACAGTGCGTTCCATCAATGCGGCAGGAAAACCGCTGAGGCACACACCGCTCGTGCGCGCAGGGTATAAGTGGCTTCAAACTAACATGAGCATGGGGACACAGATTAATACAGTTAGATAGATACAAGCGTAAGAAAGAATAAACTTGAAGTGAGCTTGGAAAATTTAAAGAAATATATATCTCAAAACCTCGGACTGAACTTGTCGTGATCTTGAGGTGACGTTGACCTATCCATGACCTGAAACTGAAATGAATATGGTCAATCAGGTTCCTGAAGATCGGCAGAAATATGTGTTTGAAAAAAATGACTACCGAATGACCTTGAACATTTCAAAGGCGTCTATTCGGTAAACCCTCAAATTCATATTGTCGTGACCTTGACCTGGCATTGACCTCCCTGAGTCCTCAAACTGACATGAGTATTGTTACTCATCGGTAGAAATAGGCGTTTGAATAAATTACCTTCGAATGACCTTGAGAAATTTAAACGCCTCTATTCGGAAAACTAACGGACTGATATTGTCGTGACTATGACATAACGCTGACATGTGCGTGACCTCAAACAGACATGAATATAGTCACTCATATTCCTGCAGATAGGCAGATATATGCCTCTGAAAAAATAACTATCCAATGAACTTGAAAATTTAAAAGACCTCAAATAGGAAACCCAAGGACTGATATTGTTGAGACCGTGATATGACGATGACCTGTTAGTGACCTCAAATTCGCATGAGTATTGTCTTACATGTTATTACATATTGGTAGAAATATGCGTTTGAAATATTACTCCCGAATGACATTGATATTTTCAAAGGCCTCTATTCGCTAAACCCACGGACTGATATTGTCGTGACCTTAAAATGACACTGTCCGTGCCCTTCCATATGACCTTGACCTGTACGTGACCTCATTTTCACATGAGTATGGTAAACCACGTATTTACGGTTTGACAAAACTAAGCGTGAAAATATATGACCTTGTGAATTTTAAATACCTGTATCTAGGATACTATTTGGCAGATTTCGTCGTGTCTTCCATATTGCCTCGACCTATACGTGACCTCATTTTGACATGATTATGGTCAACGAAGTATTTACGGTTTGGCAGAAATAAGCGTGAAAATATATGACCTTGAGAATTTTAAAGACCTCTATCTGGGAAACTACTTGGCCGATTTTGACGTGACTTCCATATCACCTTGTCCTATACGTGACCTCATCTTGACATGAGTATGGTCATCCAGGGGTTTACATTTTCCATATTTTTCACATACAGCTTGCATCCCATGTTATTTCATATTAACAAAATCCTATATATTATAGATCACATTATGATCTACTTCTTCACTGCCAGTGAATTCGACATCTTCCGGAATACCAAGTTCCCCGAGTGTAAATAAATGGAAATTGTAAAATTCGGTAGGCGACCTACAGTAAGGGGTGTGAGAGGGTGAATAAGCAAGAGAGGGATGCAAGTTGAGAGAGAAGAAAAAAGATAGTTCGTAGTATTTTAATTAAATTTGTCATGCATAATTCTCGTCCCTTTTTCATATTAGATCTTTTTTTCTTTCTTTCTCTGGTTTATCTGAATAAGGAAAACTTTGCCGTCTGTCTGTCTGTCTGTCCACACTTGGCCCGGTTTATTTGTTCGTCTTGTGGGAAGCTTTATACTTCATCTAACTTTTATCAAGTCCTTTTTTTCCCCCTTTTTGTTTTGCACTGAGTTTCCTTTTTTGAACCTCTTTCTTGTGAAGCTAATGAACACGCGAGCGAACAGATCCATCTTTATCACGGATTTATGCGTATGTATGTTTTGCGCGTGCGATAGATATGTTAGAATGTGAAATCGAAACGCCTGATTTTTAAGAGTTCTTTGTGATCAGTGCATACAATTAACTCATAATGTGGAGTTCATGCCTATTCGTTCATCAGAATGTGTGATGTCCGAAAATGCTTTAGGTTTTCTGTTTAAACTTGGTACCAAAAGACTCGTAACACTGAACATTGCACGGCGAAACCCTGATATCCGTACACCAAACCCCTTAAACTTCCAAACTACACCTTGTCAGCTGTCGTTTATGTTACCCAAAAATATTCTAAATCTGTCTAAACTATTTTTTCCTAGTAAAAATCGGAAATAAACGAAAAGTGATGGCCTTCGTATAAGAGAAATCATGCGGCTTAGCAATTGCTGAAAATGAGTATCTAAATTTCAATTTTTCTAATCGTGTTAATATCCTTTGTAATAACTGCCAATATTTCGACACGAAAGGATGAATGGGTTAATGGATAGATGGCAGTATATGATAATACATTAATATAACAAATAGATCAATTTCGAATAATTAATATTAAAACACGATCATGTAAATATATTTATAGAAAATAAGATAATATAAATAAGGCATACAACATAAAGTACAAAGTATATTATAAAGTATAATTCATAATAATAACCAAATGAATCCATTTGACGAAAAGGCCAGAACCAGTTGCACAGCATTTCATGTATATAATTTCAGAGCACTTTGTAACCAGTCAAAAATGCAACATACGGCGACGTTCATCAGTCGTGGCCTATTTGATTCCAGCAGCTTTCGCCTGGAGGGACGAAGCATACTTTGTAGACAAGTATAAAAGTACAGGGTGGTTGTTAAAATCAGACAGACAACTGTAACGTTCTTTATTAAATCTGGGACAAGTGACCGTCTAGAAGAAATAGAGATCCCAAGTGAACTCGAGGTTATCCTTGGAGCCCGGAACGTCTGATGAACTGTCACATGCAGAATCTTGACATGATTTTCAGATACCAAAAGTTTCAGAGATCATTCGTGTGAAACTTTTCTGGAATATTGAAACATCTGGGTTTATCGCAGAGCCACGAAAATAAAACACTGCTAAGAGGTACAGGAAGGTCTTAAAGAAAATAATGAGAAAACAGCCTCAAGATGAAGTGATTGACGTAGAACATAACAAAAAAGAGAGAGGGGGGGGCGATCAATAAGCGATAAAAACATTTGAAGCAGAGTAAGCGTCATTATTTCTTGTTTATAATGATTAACTAATTGAGTGTTAGCTTAACGTCACTTTATGTTAGTTTAATGTCAATTTGGGCTTGCTAATCACGAGGTGATGAGAAAACAACAGAAATTACATAGAAATTTTTATGCCCCATGGTAGGAACAGTAGAAGCTACGTAATATCAGGTTTAAAATGCTGATTTCTCAGAACTTGTGTTCCTCCTCTCGTCGTATTCCCTTATCGTCTTATTTTCCCTAGACCTGGTCAAGAATAAGGCGTACTTAACAGTATTTCCTTCTGCCACCCAATCTCCCCAAATCCCCTTTCAGCGTACGTTTCAGAGCCAACGTACTCTGTTCATTTTCGGTGTTAACTCTTACTCGTGTAATTACGTATAGATATAAGCCCAGTTCAAATTCTCTTAAAATATTCGTGACCTGGAATAGGCCAGACAGTCAAATGAATCACTAAAGGCTAGACGGTCTTCATTCGATTCCAGGTAGAGACAAAAACCTTTCTTTTCGCCACCATATCCAAACTAGTCTTAGGGCCCATCCAGTCTCCTATCTAATACATATATACCAGGGGTCATTTCCCCGGGATAAAGTGTGCACGAACCTCGGTGAAATAATAGGATCATTAATGAATAATAATTTGGAAAGGACATGGAAGGAAGCGATCTTGACATAAATGTAAGGAACTATCTCTACACCTGCCTGGAGGGACTGAGTAAAAACACAAAAAGTATTAATGTTAACTGCTTTCAGGGTCAACATTTGGACAAGGGACCTCCAGAATACGAAGTAGGAATGCTAAACACATGGAAGTGACGTTCGGTACAACATCCTCTCCTGCTATTGGTGTCTGAACCCCAAAGTTCGCTTCACCTTATTAATCTGTAGTTCCGCGAAAACAACACTTTGTGTATTGAAGATCATTTTTCTAGAGATTGATTGTTAGCACTCTTCTATCTTTCCGTCTGTGACTTGAGAGATCCAAACATTTTAACATACTTAACTATAATTTTATATTTATGATATTGGAGTCTATCACCTTACGAAAGAATATGGTAGGAATAACTTGTCGCTAAGAGAATTTGGACCTGACACAGAGGAAATAACAGGAGACTATAATAAACACTAAAGCTCTTCACAACTTGTCCTCATCTTCTCACACTGATAGGGTGATTAAATCAAGGATGATGAGACGTGTCAGACATGTAACATGAAGGAAATGAGACAAGCATACAGAATTTTAATCGAAAAATTTGAAAGAGACTACATGAAAGAACTGGAAGTAGATGGGACCTTAAAGTACGATGTGAAGCTATGGATTGGATCTATCTGGCGGTTTAATCAACTGAGGAGGAAGAAGCCTGCTCCGTGGAGTCCGTTAACAATACTAGCTGACTTGTTATGTGGTAGGACCTAACCTAACCTAACCTCATGCTGACGTAAGTAGTCACAAGTTCTCTGCAGAATTTCACGCTATTAATGTGTAGTAAAGACGAAGGTAAGATACAATGTTTAAGGCTGAATTAAACTAGACGCTTCTGAAATTTAAATGACCTTAAACCACCCGATATTTTCGTCTCCGATGTCGATATGAATATCCATGTCGAATGACTTCCTTCAGTGACATGCCAAATAATTTGTTGCATGCAACTCAAGCGGTATCCCTATGAACAGACAGAATCAGATTCGAGAACGTGTTTTTAACTTCTTTTTGGATTACGTTGTAAAATATTAATTAATTATGAATTGCACTAAATCGCTTTATGTCTCGAAGTACAGAGCACAAAAGAGACTTCTGGAGCATCAACGCTGTTAGCGAGAAAACAACATTCCTGATAATGCATTGATGGCTGAATTTCTGATCAATTTGCCAACATTATATTCATCCATCTCTCTTCCCTGTTATCCATTCCCCTTGGCTTGCTCCTTTAAGTTGGTTGGGTGGCGGAACCACCCTCTTGATTCTTTGCGAAGTGATCAGTCATCGTCAGGATCGTGACAATAGAGGGCGCTTTGTTCCGGTCTGTCTCAGCTACCGCATTGTCCAATCCCAAGAAGAGGATACGACGAGCCCTGGAGTCCAGAGATTTTTACGTCCAAATTCATAATTCGTAAAGATTCACAGAAGTCTATTACAGGCATCTTTCGTGAGACTGTAAACCTCTGGGTTATGACGCCACGTAGTTTCTGTATCGTTACAAATATTTCGGAGGAACATACTGTTTCCGATTTCACTTCAGGGTCTACCCTACATGACTACACGGCGTCACAATCAGGAATAATATAAGTTATATTTTCACCTCTGCGAAAAAATTATTTTTAAGTACGTTTCAAGAAGTAATGACGAACATCAAATGTGCTGCATTTCAGGATTCGTCTTTCGTAATAAAGGAGTAAGATATGCAAAGATCAGTGCATAGCAAAAATACAAGATATTTTATACAGAATGATCGAAAAATCTTAAAGTATACAAAACAATAATCTTGCCTGTTGTTTTGTATGGGTGCGAAACATGGTCTCTCACTCAGAGGGAGGAACACGGATTGCAGGTGTTTGAGAATCGGGTGTTGAGGAGGATATTTGGGCCTAAGAGGGAAGATGATGGGGCGTGGAGAAAACTGCACAATGAAGAGCTTAAAAATTGGATTTTGTTGGCCCAGGACAGGGTGATGAACCTTCGGGTTCGGTAAGCCATCTAGTTAGTTAGTTATGATCGAAAAATCACGCAACCCATAAAATATTCATATTTATTGGTGAATGCAATTCCGTACAATTCGACTGGATTAATAAACACACAGTATCGCTGTGACGATACATTAGCCCACGCAGGTCACGCCACGTTTTAATATGTTCGCGTCGGTCAGTCTTTCAACGATCGAAATGCAAGGATGTATTTTTCTCAAGTGCAACGAAATGTTCACTGTCGAACACCACCTGGCATCCCGTTCTTACTGAACTAGCCAGAATGACTTTAATGATACAGTTCTCGATTCTTCTGTGTCAAATCGACGGTATCACGTCTGGTTCGAACTGCTTCCGGGACAAAGGAACTTTTCGCCAGCTTGCATCAAACACGAGTAACGCATTGGACATTCCTAACACTTAATAAAACTTGTTCTTTGTTTAATTTCATTATTATTTTATATTTATTTTTTTTACAAATAGAACAAGTGTCAGAATTAGGTATATCATGTTCATGAGATTCACTTTAGTACAGAATGGTCATTGTCTCGAAACCATGAGCTAATACATACTTAGGCGAACATAGTAATGCTTGTATTGACAACATTAGTAGCTGAGCCTATAACTTCTGGGTGTTTATAAATACATTAAGGTCTTCATGTAAAGCACAAATCCATGTTGCCGAGTTAATATAATATGAAACGCTTTAAAGCCAACAGACAAGATTAAAAACGAGTACTTCGTTTAATAACACGCTACAAATGTTTTGTAAATAAATTCTTCGCGAATTTTCATTTTGCAGTTCTTTTATTGTGTAAATCGTGTATGGAGACAATTAAACGTGTATGGGCAAATGATTTCTCCACACCATTAAATGTGAAATTATATTATTTTAAACTTTGCATATGATGGGCTTATCTCTGCCCAATAGACTAAACTCCATTATAATTTACAGGTCAGCATCCTTTCGTGTTTCATGTTCAATCAAACTCACAATAAATAATATTATTGTTTGAATATAAATCATTTGTTTGAACCATATTATTTCAAAACCGCCTTCAATTACGTTTTGTTGCTATAGTCTATTAGCATACAACGTAATATTTAATATATATAATGTATCTAGGCTACTAAATCATATTAATGTAGTGGACGGTGTCACTTAAGACATCCAACCACTACAAGAAATCTTCTAGAAAGTGTCCCGTTCTCCTCGATAAAGATATCAGCCTCGGAATAACCCCGTTATGTGTCCTTGGTCATTATGACGAAGTTTGCCTCGCTCACCTGTGACCTGCTTATTCGATCTTCGTATAGCTCTAATAACCCAAAAATTGCTGCTGTCAAATGGAGAGAGAATTGAATTTTGGCCTCTGTCGGCAAATAATCTTTTCAATAATTCTTAATATGAGTGCCTCGTTAAAACATATTTCTTTCGTACACTAAACACTTCCTAAATCGAAACGCTAGATGTATTACACTGTATTCCAAATATTTAACTAATTATATACCATTAATTAAAACACACAAACAACGACAGAAGGTAAATCGTTGTAAAACAACGTTCAATAAAATTCTAATGTAAATCCTGACCTGAATTTCCAAACTTTCACTAGAATTTAAATGTTTAAAAATCTAAATTTGGCTTACTGAAATGATTAGATCACAAGGGTTAGATGGATTTACGTATTTCCATTTCAAGTATTCAGAAATGAACACAAGCTTACCTGTTGTGTTTGGTGGTTAAATCACTGCTTTAGCTGATGTCTCACAGCGCCTAGCAACGAGTTTGCTAGTAGTATGGTTAGAGGAAACTTTCGTTTACTACGTGATTCTACATTACTTCTGGTTGAGGTGTCAGACTCGTGTACCCTGCGCACTGATCTTCAATGAAATGAAATATGTCGTCTGACGTAAAATGGCTACCTGACAACACAATCAATTCAATAATAACTAGTCAAAATAAAACCCGTAAACTTTGGTCTCTCATATCATCGAAATAAATTATAAAAATTAAATTATATTATAAAAGGTTTAGAAATTGTATTAATTACATCAACTTTCATTGTCTTTCAAACAAATCCTAAATGCAACTATACAGCCCTATATTCTTTTAACAACATAAATAAAAACAAAAGACAGTCAGTACTCATTTCCGATCCGTTGCACATTAGGCCTGCTAACGTACTATTGCAAAACTGTTCACAACGAAAAGATTATAATTATTTTCCTTGTACTTCATTAAACATTCAGAACATCCGAAAATACGTAAAATAGAAGGTGTAGATCGTAATGTAGTCTGTTTTGTTACGCTGGGGCAAACACATTGAAAAAATGAAAAATAGTTTTCTGTATTACTTCCATGGGTCAATGGTAGTCCATGCACCAGAACGTAACAGAACCGATAAGATAAAATGTATCGTTAACCAGCTCCAGCCAGTCATGCGCAGATAGCCAGCAGCCAGCTAGTTGAGGCGAACTCTATCGGCGAGGCAGGTATCCACCAATCAAATAACATTCTGCACGGCGGTGTTCGCACCGTTGTTAACATGTTGATGCGCGCTGATCACACTGTGCGAAGAACGGAGAAATGTTTTTGGGTGGTAGTACTGAACAGAGCTTGTTACATCAACGAGTGTCAGTTTTTTGATAAATTCTAAACACATAACGTATTCATGCAACGGGAACTAGCGGACAGAAAGCGAGCTTTTGAAATCGTGTAGGCTGCATAACACGTAAATCAATCAGCTTATCTGTGTAGCAGTAAGAATTTAATTTGAAATTTAATAGCTTCCAACAATCAGCTTAGAATATTAAAAGAAACTGATGTTGTGATCTTTGTGTTCAGACCGCCAAAGTGATTATCTAAAGCAGTGGTCTTCAACCTGTGATACGCGTACCCCCGGGGGTACGCGAGGACAGCTTAGGGGGTACGTGAAATTTTAAAAAAAATATTATTTTATGATAAACACTGAATAATCAGTAATGTAATTTATTTAATATGTAGATTTTATACTATGTATAACTTGAATTATAGACCAACAACTTCGGGGGTACAAAGTTGAAGAGAAATTATATCTGGGGGTACGCGAACAAAAAAGGTTGAATACCACTGATCTAAAGCATAGGATATAAGGAGACTAATGAGAAATTAAATTCAGAAGACTCACAGGATACAGTTATTAGGTCGTAGAAAAAAGAAATAATTTCACAAGAACTCTACATGGACACAACTGAAAAGAAATTAACACGTCATAAACAAAGCTTATCGTGTTAAAAGGATTCGAAACATTAATTTAAGGAAGATTGATGTATTCTGGGGTGTTGCGCCCTGTAATCTGGTAGAAGTCCACCAACGTTTCAAAGGTCATGCTGCCTCCGTAATCGCCCTGATGACGGAGACAGCAATGACTTCTGAAACGTCGGTAAAATTCTACCATACTACACAGGGCAACAACCCAGAAGACAGAAACCTTCCTACTCACCGCTGTGAAAACCTCAAATCTTACATTAATTTAAGGCATAATTTCGTAAACAGCGGGAAAGAAGGAAGGTTTCTGTCTTTCGTGGTCTGTTCGTCTCAAAACAATGAAAACAGCGGATAACGGATAGCAGTAACAGTCGAAGGACAAATGCGAGATCACGAAGTTGTGCATAGGATTTTTAACCTTGGAATGGAGATGAGCGGTCAGTTCACGCTGAGGTAGCCGTTATCCCCCCCTCACTCCCGAGGACGAATCCGTCTGTGGACCGAAAGGAACTTTCCAGAGTATGTCAACACGCAACAGCGAATATATACGTACATTCCAACGTCTCGACCAGGAATTAAAACTTCCGGTAGCACGTTACTCAATGGTTATGACAATGAATTTAGTAAATAGGAAATAAAACGCGAATATCAGTTACTGAAAGAATTTTCAAACCTAAACGAAAAAAAAAATCGCCCTGATGATGGAGGCAGTAAGCACCTCTGAATTGTCGGCCTATTTCTGTCATATTACAAGGCGCAGCATCTCAGAGGACGGCCATTTTCATACTTGCCGACTAAATAACCAGTTAGTTATACTTCCTCGCTCACTTACCGTGTTCTGATCACTCGCTGTTCACGTGGCGATGAATGAACAGACGAATTTATACGTATACAGAGCTACAACGTCGCCAACATTATTTCCAATCCCTTCTGTCTGCCACAGCCATTACAAGTCCGGATTGTGGTACGTGTAGCGTACAGGGTGATTCGTAAGCTCCAATAGATTTCATGATACGCTTGATTAATGTACTATTAATACTGTTTAATAATTAGACATCGTTCCATGTACCCGTCCCCCGATGTCAGTCGGCCAACTGAAAATTGAGACCGATACAAAAGTCCACTCACTACAGCATTTGGTATTTTTACCACTGCAAAAGGCGACAATAGTTTCCTTTTAATAATTAACCCCTTCGGTTGAAGAATAGGTAAATAATTCGAAGGTCAGACCAGTTTTAAAGCATTTCGGTACAGGAACGCCAACACGGGCGTATCTTGGACTACTTGGAAGAACACATTTGCTGGATTCTAGACGAATAATAATGTCAAAGACTTACGAAAAACATTCTGCCGACCATCTGAAAAAAATAAAGTAATCGATCATCAAAGGAGAAGGAAAGTATGTCAGGTGCGTGTTCTTGCAAAACCGTGGATAACTTGTAAGATACCACCTGCGTCACATTCACAAAAAAAATTGCCTCAGATATTAACGCTGTCCATACAAACCTGGTGTCGAACAGGACTTTGTGTTCTGCACAATGGAGCTCCTTCTGGCACAGCAGACTAATACTTTCAGGATGCATATCGTGTTTGTTTTATCTTCCACTCTGAATAATCAAATTTCGAAGCACATGGTTTGGACAGGGGATCGGGGATCGAGCCCACGAAAAAGGGGGAGCACGATTAGACTCGTGACCTCAGTATTTAAGCAGCTTTAGATCTTATGTGAGCTACATTTGGGTTCTTTCTTGTATGAGTTTAGTGTACTGAGCGGAAGGATACATTTCAAAGGCCTTCGTTATAATTTACATATCCAGTGACAGTTGAATCGAATGTAAACCCACTGATCAATATTCTATAGCAATTTAATCAAAATGAAGTGTTGGTAAAGGCTGACGCATTTATAGTCGAAACAGATTAGGCAGCGTTAGAGGCATATTTATGTAAAATGATGTTTCTTCGAGCTTAACCCAATCAAGAAGAGGGGGGCCAGAGCGTCATTAATCTAATTACAGTGTGGCTTACCTGTGTTAAGTGGCTGACAGAACAAAGGCGTTGAAAAATTTCTCGTAATTTATCATAATTTATAATCTAATCCGACACCAAACACATAAGATACACTTAAAATAAATACAATTCAGTTCACTCACATTCCCACACGATCGCACAGTGGGGACTACGAACACACGAAGTCGGTACTAATGTGTGTAAAGTCTCAAGTTGGGAACAAAATTAAGCAATCCTAGCATATTTAATACGTCATGATAGTCGCGTCCATATTTAAAATCGAGCTGCCATGCTAACCTGCTCCGTTTACGCGTGCCTCAGAGCTGAGCGGCACCCTAAGCCAGTGGTTTTCAACCTGGGGTACGCGTACCCCCGGGGGTAAGCGAAGATATCTTAGGCGGTACGTGAAATTTAAAAAAAAAAAAATATTTTATGATAAACACCGAATAATCATTATATACTATTATTATTATTCAGTGTTCTGTCTTACGACAGGTCCATTGCTCTGCCCAAAAAGAGCTCTCCAGTTGTCCCTATTCTCGGCTTCTCGCTTTAATTCCTGGAACGTCATCTTCTTTCCTT